CTACATTTATTACACCGCTCGTAGACAAGCCGTCAGGGAGAAATTCGATGTCGAAATCATATACCTTCTTAGATAGCTATCAAAGCTGGTAATTAATTAGGTCTACCTTCAAGACATATTTGAGGAAAGGTTACATTATTATATTGGCTCTTATACTTTATTACAATTCAATATCAAGTCCATTAAATTGCGAACAGTTTGAGCTGAAGTTACTAATTACCCCATTGCGTTCCATGTTGTTGCGGCTTCTCGAAAGGCCAATCGAAAGTCCTCAGCCCCTAGTGTGTCTATTACGTATGCTACGAGCTAGTGCGATCGAGCTGCTTGATACAGTATGCTGCCAATTCGTTTGAGGTTCTTTGTATTGGTGATGACAGCATGATGTCAACTGATACTGCTGTATCACTGACGTTATATTTTTCCCAAGGGATCGATCCCAATTTGTCCGCAAGGTGGTAATGGATGGGTCAGATGATTTCTATTTCCGTCCTAACTGTTCAGGAGTTTTGGTGTGGATTAGACATTTTTTGTGTGGAATTCGGTGAATTGTGTGTTGTGCTCGGCGAAGTTTGTGTAGAACTCGGGATTTGTATTGTGTTATTAGGTCGTGTGTGTATTTCGTTAAAATTTGTGTTTTTTCGGTCGTTTTCATGTTTATATCGTTATTTAGTGTTTGACAAAAAAACGCCCTCCTACGTTAGACACTAATGTTGATTTCGCAACCAATGAAGGGAGCACTGCGTTTGATGCTCCTTGCGCCTTCGCCTTGCGGACTTCATCACGTTCTGTGTGTGTCTGTATTCAAAGTCGAGAAGAGGTTATCTCAATGCAAAATACATTAGAGCAATCAACTGGTAGCAATCAACTGGTTCATCAACTGCATATTCCGAGGTGGTAGTTTTGTTACTGCCAGCTCGATTTCGGCATATTCAGACGTTAGAGTATCAAAACAAATAAGTCGCTACCTAGTTCATTGCCGCCTTGGTTGTTCCCCGAGTCCTCTCCAAGTCCCGATACCTGCCAAAAACTTGACCAGTCATATTGTAGGGTGACATAAATTGTCCAATCAGGGTTAATGGATTCGGAAAACCAATATTATTGCAATATTTCATGGGGCCCAATAAAATAACAGCAATAATTCTCTGGAAACCAAATTGGCAATATTTCTTGGAGTCCAATAAAATAACTGCAATAATTCTGTGGAAAACAAAAACTATTGCAATATATTTCGCACTTCCAATAAATAGTTTTATTGTTCAGGAAAAATATAATAAAATACTTATTTCAATATATTTAAATAACAATATTTGATAATCACTGGTCACGCTCAGCCCTGCAAACCTCATAGTCGTGGTCGCGTTAACGTTGATGGACGGTGCCTCCACCGTCACTGCCACGGGCACCACGACGGCTGTCCGCCCTCTGTCTTGGCTATCACAGTCAGCGCCTTGAGATGTGGCGAGCTGATGTTGCACAGACGCATCGCAGGCAAAGTACCCTGCCAGAATTGGCCGTCGAAATATCAACCTTTGTGAATGCAGTATGATGCTGAATGTGCAAACAAATGTACTACTATATCAACTCAAAAGTAAAAATGAATATGTATGATTAACTACTGTAGTTGCATCCAGTCTTGGTCTTGTTCCTCAAGCACAAAGTCGTCGCGCAGATCAGCGTTAAGGAGTACGAAGTCCCCGCGAACCACCACGCGTGGGGGCTTACACAACTTGCAAAGGTCCGGTGGGATAGTCGGCGTTGCTGTCGGGCGGCGCGTTAGAACTTCCAGTCGCTTGCGTAAAAGTACGCCGCGTTCCATGTAGCATTCGTAGCGTACCATGCATTGATGAAAATCGCAGTGGAGTCACGGGGAGTCGTCCAGACTGCACGGGTGAATACAATCAGACCACTTGTATTGGCAGTGGACAGGTGGGGTGGTCATGTCGAGATGAAAATTGATGTGAATGACTAGAGCACTTTACTTTTATACGAACATTATTATTATCGAACGGTTGAACATTTATCGAAAAACAGAAATATTCACTATTTACCGTCCCCAACCGAAAATGTATCGGACGAAACGGTTTTACTGTTTCGTTCATAAAATATTCATTTAATATATAGTAACCATACTTTGAAACGCCGAAACGGCGACTCTTTGTTTCGTAAAGAGGTTGTTCACCTGGTCATGAAATCTTAGGTATGTACTGTCTATTGTACATTCAAAATGTTTGGTTATGTCAGTTTAACTATACATGAGGAATGTACCAGCATTACAGTAATAGTACAGCTGTACGATAAGTCGTTTTGACTCCAAGGAACCATATTGAGCCGCGATAAAATTACAGTCCTCATTTTGAAATTGGCCTAGTAGTGCTCACAACATGTGAGCTACCATGAATGCAACAACTCAGGCAGGAGTACTACCTGTCTGACATTGAATTGTTCTAATGTTTGTAATTAGTAACCTTGGGAGCGATTTGACTGCAAGGCATTCGTTGCCAACACGAGGCACCGTTCAACACCTGCCCTGCCTAGTAGCAACCACTCTGTTTGGACTGTCAGTTCGACTGCTATGCAGGAGACGGGATTCGGCCCATCACTTTGGTGGGCAGGTGTGTACCGATGAGTTCTACTCTACGGGGGGAGGCAACGTTGCGAAACCCTGGTTGAACGGAGCTAGTGGTGAACCTGATAGCTTGCATGAACTCGCTGCCACCTTGGATCGTACGCCCCAGCACGAGTGGTTCCTCCCGGCAAAAAAACTTTGGTGGCACTATCGCATTCTGCCGTGGCGATGCAAGGCTGACGTTGGCGTAGCGTGTGTTCCTTTACCGGCAAGACGACTTCGGTGGCCCCTCCCTACGCTACCGTGGCGATGCAAGGCTGACCTTGCGTCGACCCCCTTTGTGTAATGTTGGCCCCAGCGTGCGCTTGTCACGTACATGTTCGACGTCGCTACTAAGTTGTCGAACGTTGGGCAAAGCGCGCAAGTGACCCTTCACCGCAGGACTTCATTTGTGGCTCTACGTTACTCAACCCTGTCGATGGGAGGTTGATGCTGGCGTCATACTAGTTCAACGTCCATGCTAACTGGGTTTCAACCAAATCGGGGGGGGGGCATTTTGGTGGACTTTGTTGCCGAAGGCATGACGTCAATACACCAAGTGGGTGATATTGCAATCAATCGGCCACTCAAGGAGAAGATTCGAAGAAACTATGGCGTACTTCGATGGGAGCAGCGCGCGGCACTTTCACCAGGCGACGTGTTTCGCATCGAGCGCGCTCTACTCATTGGTCTCATTGAAGATGCCTTCGATGGAATCAACAAGGATAAGTGGATTGCGAGGGCGTTCGAACCTGCGGTCAGCATCCTATGTGTTGATCGAGTTTAAGCCTTTGATGCACTGCACACCTGTCGTCATTGCAAGAGAACACTATTTATTCGACTACTGTATGTTGAGTGCGTGTCGTCATTGCAAGAGAACACTATTTATTCGACTATGTTGAGTGCGTCAGCTCGGCTAACTTTACAATAAAGGAGTTGCTTGTTTAATGCCTGGAGGTCCGTACCGACAAAGTGCCATGAGAAATTTGTCGATGAATATGTGAGGATGTCCAAAACATAGCCAAAAAAGTAAAAAAATGGGACTCGAACCCGCAACCTCCAGACTTAAAGTAGGGCCCTTTAACCACTACGCTTTAAGCAGGACATTTTCACGATTGGTACCTTACATTCTGATCAAAATATTTAATGTTTTCATCCTAGTATGAAAATATGATTTTCAATATAACTATAAAATTGTATGGGTATATAAAATATAGTATTAAATTTCAGTCATAAATAAGGTACCCTCGATACTATGGCGGTCGAAATAACTACCCATAACGAACTCATTCGGCTTAAGTTTTGCTACCCTGGACGAAAAATCCCAGGGTAGTTATTGTGTACGGTACGCTACTTTATTCAAGCGGATTTCGCAGTATTCTATGCTTAAGTCATAAAATAGAATAAACGTTAAATAATGTATAGTATTATTACTATATCAGAGGTACACTTGATTTAACGTATTGAGCAATTATTACTATTAAATTAACCTACTTCATTATACTACGTTTCGTTGCTGGAATCGTTGCTTGCAAACGCGGAGCTCAGTTTTTTAGCTGGGCCTTCAAGCTTGTGCAAGCAGGATATGTGATTGACGAAAAACGGCATCAAAATCGGCGCACTAGAAAATATATTTGCATTCGACTTGCCCAAATGGACAGAACAAATTTAACACCAGGGCGACATAAAATATGAAACGAGTTACTTTTTGATTTTTATATTTAGAGCATTTTTTGGAACAAAGCAGAAATAACCAAAATATCTAATTTTTCATCTCCCCCGTACCTCCAAATGGCCCCTTTAAAATATACAGACCTCGAATTATGGGCAAAATCGCACGATTTGGAGGAACTTCGAGGTCTCTTTATCTACTCCACACAAAAAATCATGTATTTCGAATAAAGTCAAATAGTACTTCGAAGTAAACTAGGTTTGCAAAGATGGCCTTGTGCTTACGCCAGGTCATGATAGCTTATGTTTTGTGTTCTTGTGTTGTGTGTTGTTGGGCAAGGATGAGAGAGGTTTGGAATGATGTAGCCTTGGCTTTCATTCGTGGTTCTTCCTCGAACTGAATTCTACCTTTGTGCGTGTTCTACCCCCTGTCCCCCCGACCTATCCAACATTTCAAGTACACCACGGCTGCGAACCCCTAGGACACTGTCAGCATTAATTTGCTCGTGTTCAAGGGGAAGAGGACAAGTTTCGCGTGTGGACCGCTTAGTTCGTTTTGCACCTTAAAGAAATAACTGTCGCGCTGCAAAGCCAATGGCTCGCGTCGACGACATCTGACCGCCCGGAGCCAACCACCAAGTTCGAGGGCTGATTGCAGGGCGACCCACCAGTTGGGACTGATCCCGACGCAAAGCACGCAAAGTGGCATCAGTACTACTGTACTATGCAAGTGCAACAAATCCGCACTTTACTGAGCAAAGTTTTACCCAACCAACTTGTCCAGCAAATGAAGGAGCCGTACTCCGAAACGGAACCAATCCACCGCCTCTGGGCGGAGATTGAGAAGAAGTTTGGGGTGACTAACGTGACCACTATGAAGACTGCTACGCGAAAGCTAATGCGCGTGGCCGATGGCGATTTCCAGAGTGTCGAGGCTCTGCTTGGCGGGCTACGGGCGTTGAAGTACTCAATCAACTCGCACTCTCAAAAGTACCTGAAGCGGGATGTTGTGAGTGATGATCTCTTGATCCTCATGGTGCTGGGTGTGTTGCCTTCTGACCGCTTTTGGGGCGCAAATCGTCCTGCACACGGCGTCGTATCGGATTGTCGGTGTCGAGGCTAGTTGATTGGGATTTTTGGATCCAAATCAAAAAGGGACATTATGGGAATGGACCAATCAGCGACGTCCAAAGTCGCTGGCCAATCACATCGCGCCAACCAGTTGAAATGAACAACGTGGCCAATGGGAAGCGAAAGGCCTCGGGTCACGTAATGGGTCTCCCGGCGAGTGTTCTTAATGCTTTGGGAAATCGAACTACTTAACTGGAGATGCCACGCATGTTACACAGCAATGTCCAACGCGTAAGGACGACCTTGCGATCCAGGGCTTCCGCTCCAACAACAACGAGCACTACCGGAGGACATAAACCTGGTTTATTGACATGGTGGATGGAATGCGGGTGATATGGATGCCAACCTAGTTGACACCGAACCCAGCCTTGAGCGCCTCTCCAGTGAGGGTGATGCGATCACAACGAAGATCGATGACGTGGTGAGGTGCAGTTATCCACATCTACTGACTGACAGGACTATGTCTAGTAGGGAATGGGCTCTTGACTTTAGGTACGACTCAAGTAGTTTTAAGGCGACAAAGCCAGACACCAGTCTTGTCTTTATGTTCAGTCAAGGTGATAAACTAATGAATTCACACTTGGGTACAGTGAAGCTTTGGTTTGACACACCGAGTGGAATAACATCTTTCTCATTCGACAACATCGCCTTAGTTCCTAAACTGAAGTCGAATATACTTAGTGAACATGCTCTGAAGCAGGATGGATACAGTATTTTATATCTGAGAGTATGTGTGGCAACTTTAAGTATGTGTTCAAAATGAATGCCCTACAGTTTGTGGGGGTTGCCATTGATGGGATTGATGGGGCATACTACTACGTCCGGAGCTTTTCGTTATCAGGCAGACAGGTGAGATGTGACCAGGTCAAATTGGCAAAGTACAGTAGAACGGTGGGAACCAAAGAGGCAACCCTTCTCTTGCAGGAATGGCATGTCCGCTTAGGACATCTATCTGTAGCTAAGGACGCTGTACAATAGTAAAAGTGACAACCACGTGTATTGCGCATGGTCTTCCTATCACAGCAAAGGATACGTTTAAGGACATTAAGCTGTTTTGCCACACATGTGCTACTCTGAAAGATCGAAGGATGTCGTTTCGAAATAAGTCCGGTTCTCGATCGACCGAGAATTTGCATACGTTGCACATGGACACCTGTGGTCCAGTAAAACAAAATGGTATGTATGGTACTCAACCTAATTTTAGGTAGGGATGCATTATGATTGACAATCACTCGTCGTACCGATGGGCGTTTGTCTTTCAACAGAAAACAGGTGTGTCTAAATCAGCTAAAGAGTACATTGCTCAAATTGAGCATGACGGCAAAGCTCTAGTAAAGCATAACTCGGACGGATGAACAGAGTTTGATAATAAGAATCTGCTGACCTTCTACGAAGGCCTTAGCATTAAGTACCAAAAGACAAAAAAATCCTACTACAAGGAGGAGAATGGAAGCGTAGAGAGAGACTTTCAGAGTAAGAGAGACTTTCAGAGTAAGTTTAGTAAAATCGTATGTCCGCTTCTGGAATCCCAGATGACTGCCAAATGGTGGCTTGAGGCATTCCACTCTATGGACTGAATAGAACCGATTTTTCCATACACGACGACATGGCTGTCGGAGCAAATTCAAGCACTGCATAATAATCTAGGTCGTTGTTCGTTTGATTGCACAGTAATTCCGTGAATGTACTTGCTTTGAGAAGTTGGGCGGTCACATTTCGCATAACTTGTGGGTATTTTGGACTTTTAGGAACAGTTTATGTTTATCAAATATTATCAATCTCCTTATATAGTAAACGGGATAGACTTCGTTACCCTTTCACAGATGTACCTCTATAGAGCTATATTGGCTCACTGCTCCAAAAATTGGGGGATGAATGTACAGTAAACTCAGCCCAACGATCGAACAATTACCTTGGCTTTGACACGCTTTTACGTGAAGCATTGATTCATGTCGACACTCAGCTCCGACGCAAGCATCTCGAACACCTCTCGCCTTGGCACTAGTGTAGATGATGCCTTGTGGGCATTTTAGGTGTGCTGGGTGTGTTGAATATGTATTTGTATTGTGGCCAATATTGACGAAAAACTTCAAATTTATTGACCACATTTATGGCGAATTCCTACGACAAGTCCTTTGATGGGTTTCTTTCCTTTCGCCCCAGAGGCAAAATACCAACTGCGCGAGAGGTATTCGTCTAAAAAGGCAGAAATGCGCTCTTTGCGCAAAGCACGCACAGCCTTAATGTACTGTTTAATATGCACCTCCAATACGCCTTCAATTTGCTGGGTGTGGGCGCCATTCCTTGGGTTCACGAAGTTTTCGGAATGGTTAACCCACGAGTGGGTGTAACGCATTCCGGCGAGCAAGTCGCTGTTAGCCAATGTGAGCTGCTCATTTGTTGAAACGTATGATCCGAACTAGTCCGACATGATGTGGGGCCCAGGACGAATGTGCTTTTTGATGAGCGGCAACAAGGTCGGCTTGGTCCGATCGCCGAACGTCACGACACCAAACCACTGCTTCGTGGTTTGGTCTACCCGCCAAAGAGCAAGTAGTATTCGTGGCAGGTATTATACACATGCTATTGGAAACAATACAGGGTATTTATATGTATACATCTCTGTGCTATAAATATATAAATAAATATCTATTTATATCACATATATATATATATATATATATATATATATATTTATAGATCAGATACTATTAATATATAAACACATGCAAATATAATGAATACTAGTAAATCTCAGCATGCACATACTAGTATGGATATACGCACAAATATGTTCAAGACATGTATACAAATACTGTAAATAGTAGAAGCTAAAACCACAATGCATGCACATAGAAAAAATGTACTAATTCTTAGAAATTCACCAAATATGCAGACGGGACAAACATCCTACAGTGTACTACAACAAATATATAGATAGATGTACTCTGAAATATGAAAAAATATTTTTTGCAACTAATTTTAATCAGTAAAATGAAAAAACTATAAATAAATCTAAAGGACAGATATGCATTTCTAAGTATAGAAATATATATGCATGGATATGTATGAAAAAAACAGCCATGCAGTTATACATATACTAGTATATAATAAATATAGGTACCTGCATTTCGCAACGCAACATTTACGTGGTGCAAATGTCGCGGCAAAATTGATACCTATCGATTGCGGTCTTTGGGGCCACTTCCTGCTCATCAGCCACCGTTATGACAGCCTACTTCGGTGCCCAGTCGAGCATAAAACGAACTCCCTTACAGATCGGAATCTTCGAATTCGCGAAAAACGAACCTGCCTTTCATGCTGAGCTGGGTAGAGCCGCAGGTGCTCAGTTGGCATCGCCATAGTTGTTGCCGTAGCTTTATTGGTGCACTTAGGGCACATATCGGCGACCACAGCAACCCGACATTAACGCATCTCTTGATGCATTCTTCGTCGAATTGCGTCACTTGCATTACTTCTACATACAGAAGTCGTCCAGCCCGGACATGGCGTATATGTCGTGTGGTTGTTGGTTGCAGCGGCAGGCGGCTCGACTCGGGTCTGTAGGCCATCGGCTGGCATTTCGACGGAAAGTGATTGGACGACACGGGCGCTTCGTGGTGATGGCATGTGTGTCTGTAGACAACAAACGAGAAGTCATACGCACATCACAGGGGATTTGCTTCGAAGTCTACAAATTTCATTGGTGAGGCCCTGTTGGGGCAAATTCACTGAACGATCACTGAACATTTCAACACTGAACAACTTATGCGTTCCGTATTGGAAGTGTTCAGTGGTGACACTTTCACCACGGGACTCGGAATCCCGTGTTGGGATCACCCCTCCCACCACTGGATGTAATTGGTTGGCAATTATATTTTTATATATATTTCAAGTGATATTGATGGAAAATGTAATTATGTAAATCGCATGGTTTGGCTGAGTCCACATGAGCGGAGAAAATATCGTCGTCATCGGCTCATGCAGGTAGAGGTAGATAGAGACCCTCCCGCATTGACTCCGGTGTCACAACATACATGCCTTCAGTTTAAAGACTTCGATTTAATAGAGATATTAACCAATATATACAATTTCGAATTGAATGGGGCTCCGTCCGTTGTACGACATGATTGATGTGACGACGGAATAAGGCAAGAACAGCGTTTGGGACGGGAGCATCGATGACTACAGCGGCGGGCCGTGGAAATGAAGGCTTGCGGGCAACGGCGACTGGAAGCGACGATGGCAAACATCAGCGGTGACAGAAGGCGGTGGTGGAGATACTCAGCGTCGTAGACAACATCGGAGGCTGAAAGGAGCGCGCTGGCAGTCAGAAGCAGCGCCAAAAGTGCTGTGTGTGGTCAGCGGCAGCACATTAACAGTGCTTGTGTGTGACTGCAAATTGGAAAATGAGAAATGAATCTGTATTGACCAATCATATTACGAGTACGGATATTTAAATCCTTATACCCATATATAGACGCACATATACATACAAGATAAGAGTACAGGAACTGATGAACTTTTGGTTGACAAACTAATTCACGTCAAAATACCAAATGCACTTGGTCCTGACGAATTACCCATGTATCAATCAGTTTGTCATTAAAAGGTAGGTAAATTGCTATTTGGCATTCAAAAGGGTTTCGAAAGCATAATAATGGAATAAAAGCGGAACACGTGAAATACATCCCTTTTACCCACGTTTTACCCGATATTTATGTTTTTACCTTTTTTAATACGACATTTAAAACCTTTTATCCTGTATTTTTTTGCGTTCGGAACAGTTTTTATCACGTATATAACCGTGTACAGCCCAAGTGGTGTAATTAATTACCCACCATATACCTCCATTTTAAATAATAGAGATATTTGACGGTTTTTTTGCGAACTGCATGCAGTTGTATGATTCCTTCCATAGCAAGCACACGCAGCCAACAAAGTTTTCCACGAGCACGCTGTCAGACGACGCGCGGCGGTTTCGCTCAACGTCTTCCACGTCCAGTTAACCGCCCACAGGCGATCGAAGAATGGTAAGATCGTGGGTCGCCCCAAGGTGCGCAGCACTCATAACAACACAGCTCATAAACAGCGTCTCCATGGCTCAGGAGGCAATCGTCCAGGATGCTCTGGTCACGGACTGTCTGCTTCTGGAGACTTGCAAACATTGCGGTGGGGTTGAAGACCATTTGAACAGCGGGTGTTGAATTGTGAACTGCAGTTTGTAGGGCAAAACGAATTTGGAGGGAAATCAATAAGGCGGGAGCTATTAGGATTTGAGGAAATAGTAATACAGTTGAAATACTTATGGAAAGAGGTATTTGATTGACACGTGTCGAATTCGTCAGCCTGTGTGTATTTACGCTGTTAAGGAATTTAGGATGTCCCTGTGATTTTGGAGCTAATCTTAAGCTGATCAGATATGCAGTGCTGCTGAACACTGTTAACAGTAAACTTGTACTTTATGCCCTTACTAGTAGTTATTACTACCTCCGGACGGGAATAGACCTGACATTTCAAAATCGTTGAACGATGGAAATAGACCTGACATTTCAAAGACCCCAGAAATTTAATAGATCAATATCCATAACCATAATCAAAGCTATATAATTCTTTAATTATTGGCTTTGCAAACTCAAACTCAAATTCATTTGATTCTTACGCAGATCATCACTCCTTCTTCGTCGTCCTCTTCATTGATCCCATTGAAACGCTTGCTCTGGGTTGAGCGGTGGGGTGGGATTTCGCCAGGGAGCAGGTACATTCGCGATTTGAACTTTATCGCGTGGAACCACTTCTCATCCACGTGAACGTAGTCGTATATGTCAGCGAACTGAAAGTTCTGTCGGGACGAACTAAGTCCATGGTCCATTCACGCGGGTCACTTTGTTGACATCGGTTAGCTTAGGTTTAATGAGGGAATTGTAGTTTACTACGAGACCGCGTTTGTAGTAAGTAGTCTTTAAGGATGTTCGCGGGTATGCCGATTGTGTGTGCGATGTACTGGAGAGTCGTCCGACGTTGTGTGGTATCGCACGAATTCGTGCCGGAAGGTTCGTGTACTTCTGTTTGCGACCAACGCGGGTCTGCGCTAAAAAGAGATAATTATTCCTGTTTTCGGATAAGTTTGGCTGTATCCGTAATTTTTATCTTGACTTCAGTATCGTGATTCTTTTTCAACGTGCACGACTGGATGCAACTTTTTTTTATAAATTCGGGCCAATTGGATGCATTATATTGAGCCCTTTGCGAACCTATTTTCAGATTTTTCTAATTTGAAAATTCGCAGAAATTACATCATTTTTTGTCAAATGTCAGGTCTATTTCCGTCCGGAGGTATTATACAGTGCTCGCCACATGATTGCATACACCCTGTTTTTCGTGCGTAGTTAATGTTGAGTTGACATCTACCGTTCGTCACATACATTATGTGCTGTGATTTCCATCATCATTGATCTGCGGAATGACTTGCATGAGAAACTGCATGAGTGAATGCGGTATCCATGAATTCAATAATTTCATGTGCGCCAAATGATTGCAGCCACAACCGAAAAAACTAAATTTCGTGACCAAATGAGATTCAAAATATATACTAATAATCACATTTCTTGCCTTTGGCATCAACAACTGCCACACAACGCTTGGGCATTGATTAATCAAGCTGGAGAGGTAGTCCATGGGGATTCTCGATCAGACTCGCTGAATGGCACCCACAAGTTCTTTTTTCGACAAATATTGCTTGCCGTTAGGGCAAACTTGCCTCACCAAATATCCCCAGACATTCTCAATTGGATTGAGGTTTGGGGAAAGAGCAGGATGCTCAAAGAACGTCACGTTGTGGCTATCCAAAAATTCCGTAGTTGCCTTGGAGCGGTGGATGGACGCATTGTCTTGCAGAAAAACAAATTCAGACCATAGTGCGAATGGGCACACGGAAACAGATAGTTGGCCGACGTGTCGATGTACTTCTCTGAGACCTGGCGGCCCTCCAAGATGGCCAAGTCGGCCACGCCAGCACCCGAAAAAGCATAAAACATAACGCCGCCACCGCCGCTCGCTCGGACGAAGAACGTGACAGGCTTCTTGCGTAAATCCTCCCAGTAGTACTGAAAGTCATCGAGTCCGTCGAGATTGAAATTTTTCTCGTCGGACCAAATGACTTCAGTCCAATAGGGAGGGTTCACCAAATGGTCTGTCGCGTACTTCACACGCGCCACCTTGTGTGCTTCCTTGAGAAGAGGCATGTGCTTCCGTCTCTTGTACTTGAAAAATCCACTTGCCAGGAGACGTCTGTGACAGGTTCTAATTGAACCGTTAAGCTACAACGATGCGTGGAGGCTTCGACAGGATTCGCCGCTTGCAGTTGCAGCGCGATACACATGGCGTCACTCTTGGTGGACGATTTTGGTCGCTTTGCGACCCTTTTGGCTCGTGTCGTAACTGTCCGGTGCAATCAGGTAGGCTCGTACGGTTTCTTTCGAGCGTCCCAAGTGCTTCGCAATCGCTCGGTACGAATTTTGCAGCCGAAAGGTCCGCGCTGCCACTTGCTCTTCGATGGTGAGTCGAGGTCCACTACCCATCCTAGGGGTGTGTTTGAGTCATGGTATGAGAGTTTAGACAGTGTTTGATGGCTTTACGTGGGCAGTTGAGTGGAGTAGGAGCAAGCAAGAGGAAGAATGAGTAGTGAGTGACCTACAATTATCTGTCGCACAGCGGAAAGAGTTTTTCCGCCATATCGCAATAACCACCTGCATGCAGACATTTCTGAATACATCAAAGTACCCCCCAATCATAGGTGATTTTGGCACTGTCATGGCTAATTGCAGTACTTGATTGGCGGAAGTTTTTTGAAGAAAAAACAGGACATGTGGCGAGCACTGTAGTACAGGTACATCTAAAAAGTCCTCAATTCACAGACCACGTGTACTTGATTAAGGTAATAAATTGTTGTTCGAACTTGATTGGCTATAAATATAGATAAAAACAGGATGTCAGAATCGAATGGCTGACCCAAGCAAGAAGCGTGTAGTATGTCCTGTCGTGGACTGTGAGGACAAGTTCGTCGCGGACACGAACAAGAAGTCACATTACACCAATGTGCACTTCACCAAGAACCCATCGATTGCCCCGTACAGTCCGAGCATGTTCGCGGATATGGTGTGACGAAGACCACGACGAGTACACACGGCGCACTGGCATAGTGCTCCACTCGTCGCCGCATTTTGAACGTTCCACACAATCTTCTGTTTTGACTTGATGCGTGAACATAATATCTCGAATGATGTTGCTATCATTCTCATGTTGGACTCCCTTGTCAAGAAGCGTGGTGGGGATGTCCGTCAGCTCTTTGTGGACCATGCCCTGCGTTGTGCCACGGAACAAGAAGCGATGAAAAGCCAAAATGAGGAAGTGGCGCCGCCCGTTGCAACGAAGTCATTGACGTCCAAACAAAAGGCAGCAAAGGGCAAAGTGGCGGTAGCGGCGAAACGTAGCAGCAAGAAGTAGTCAATGTAATCACACTTTAGAGTAACTGTTAACTTGGAAATTTTCCGACAAATATAGGTAACTATGAACTATAAATTTATAGGACATACTAGTGTAACCTATCGGTTGGTAGCATATCATACTAGCGCCTAGTATTGCCTAGTGTTTAATAGTCTATACTAGTGTATACTGTGATGTGTTAGTGATCACTATTAACACCTGTAGCTAAATAGGTTTAACTAGTACTCATGGTATACAATATTAATTCTATTTATTTACCTACTGTTGAGGTGGTTGTTAGCGACGAATCTTGGTTAGTCCGTTGCCGTTTTCTCATGTTGTTCACTGCAAGGACCGATTTGCGGTACGCCTGGATCGGATGAAGCAACTTCTGCACTTTCGCCAGTTGACGTGGTGCGTGCTGGATATCGCTTGCATGCTGGATGAGCCACGATGACAGTTCATGTATTGTTTGGGCGACGTGCGCGGATACCAACAGCTGCGATTCGTCCAGAATCGAGACAGTGTCGTGGTTAAGTTCGGGTCGTGCACTAAGTGCGTTTACTTCTTTGTCGCTGGATTTTTTCGTGCACTCTTGCCGCAGCATTTCGTCCTTCGTCGTAGGAAACACCCACATAGGCGGCGTTAGCTGCCGCACTTTGTAACGCGGCGGCACCTGGTGGACGCCTCGTTAACTCCTGGTGTGTGGAATGTGTAGTTGCTACATTGGTGTTGCGTGCTAGAATGTATCTGTGTACGAGATGCTTGCACAGGAGAAATTCTCCGTAGGCGTACGAAGGACAAGTACAAGTCCAACGCAGCACCGACGTGTCGTACACGTCATTCAAATCGCCTTGGTCGGATTTCGTTGCGAAAACTTTCCACTGTGCGTTCATCCTGGATTCCCAAGACGGCAGTGCTACAAATAACCCATGAGTGTGGGCAATGCTCTTATCACTATATTCCACTAGCCATGCGTAGAGGACGCTAGTATGGCCTAGCCACAAATAAGACCCACTACGTACAACTAGTTGGAACCATGGCAAAATAGTGCATATCAAGATGGTACATATATGGGTGGATAGTAATTCTGTACCATACGAAATACGTCCACCTGTTGCACGAATGAACTTGTCGATGTACCATTCTTGTATGTTTGTCACGATGATAAAGCAAAGAAGGTCGAGTCGTGGTCGTTGAAAGTCCTGAACATAGGTGTCAAGATGATCAACAGTCAATACCTCCATACCTTTAAGAATCGATACTTCAGACAGTTAAAGTGCGCCTCGGCCATCATACTGGTTCGAAGGGTCGCCAATGCAGTTGGACACTGAGACCTCGCCCATCGCTTGAATTCATTCTCTGAGTACCAGTTGTTGAACAGGTACACAAATAGATATGATGCGCTGCATTCCTTGCAAAAGTTTTAGATTTCTTCCACAGCGCGGATGTAGAACACGCGAGCTTTGTCATGGGGGGGCATAGCATCGTCCTAGTTATCACTGTGAGTACATAGCTGGGCCTAGGCAATCCAAGTAATTGCTAGCGATGTCCTAGTAAACACTAGTGTATATGTTAGTACGCACATGCATCGACATAAATGGGTGAGCCTTGTAATGCGACTTCATTAGTGATAGAAACGGCCCCAGCACCGCTTTGTCACAGAAGCTTTCCTCCAACACGAGTGTTCCATGCACCCACACTGCTGGAAACGCTGGCGTGTACCCTTCAACATGGAGCAAGGTATTCGTCGGGGCGAATCCAAGTCATTTATATCAATTAGCTTACACACGTAGGTGTAGTACCACACTTACCTGCGGATATCTGGAAATATCTTTCCTTGCATGAAGCGTGCTCGAATTGCTCGATCCATGTGCCACAAGCACAAGGACAATTTCACGCCAGTCCAAACGGCCGTTGCTGCTGCAATTTGAGCGCTATCCTTGTCCATGTGGACAAAGGCTGGATGCAACCCAAAGTCATCGCGTAGTAATGCAAGCCATTGCTGCAAGTAAGCGACCTTGACTTCCGCTGTGACTACGTTAAACATTATAAACTTGCATCCACAATATATATATAGTTCACCATGTAACCACTATGTACAGCTAGCAGCTAAGTAACAACACATACAACCACGTAGTGACACCTACTAATCCATAGTAGGCGCTAGTGTTACACAGTGAAAGCAACAATATACTAGTGTTTACAAATGCTTTGCCGTTCTCTTTCAAAAAAAAATACGACACAGGGTACCCTTGACCACGAAATGGCACGAGGAGCGCGTACAATTCAAAACCTTACGCGTTCGTTTTGTGCGTCGAGTCCATCACGCACTCGGCGCTGTGAGTCAAGTCGAAGGTGTACTGTACTCCAGACATGGACTTCAGCAGCTGCGATAACACCAAAACCACGTTTTGGACATTGCGCACGCCTGCAATGGCCAAAGTCGTGCTGAAAATGGCCGGGGACTTCTCCAGGTACTGCATGGTTGAAACGACTGGATCGTTGTGGGACTTGAAGTGATCATGTATGATCTATATCATATATCATATTAACTAGCCCCTTAATGCAAAATAATATATGAATAGAAAAACCTTTCGCCAATGATACGAAATTTGCAACCTTGGTTGAGCATTACTGCGCATCAAGTTCAAGCGGATTTGTGAAGGAGACAACGTCAGTGCAAACTTCGCAATGTACTCCAAGCAATCATGGGACATCTTTACTGTGGAGTTCTCGCATCCAGGATGGTGTTCATGGTGATAGACGCGAACAAAGATAGCTTTCGTCGTGCAAGCAATCGCCAACGTTCCTATTGTCGTAATAGAAATTACTGGTATTTACTAGTTCTAGATGGTGTCAACTAGGCATACATAAAACATCACATGAACACAAAGGGGTCAATAAGTTTACCTTGACATTCGTAGGAGTTGTAAGCTTCCCGGTTTTTGAACTTCTCGACATTGCGCTGGTGGACTTTGAGCTGGCGATCTTTGCGTTGGGAACACCGAAAGGTAGCAACATGTGTGCCGCCGTGGCGATCAATTTGCTTTGTTTTGGCGTTAACACTATAACGTACTAGGTGACACTATTCTATACTAGTATATAATATTGTTTTGCTACCTGAAACCAAAGCCGAAGCTATCGGACAAACCATGGAGGACCCACGCATGGATGTCCACCAGTGAGCTGTCCTCAACACGGGGTATGGCGAACATGACAGCACCAGTGTGTGAAACCAGTTCCCAGATGAGCTCGTCAGAGAAAGCCGCCAATGACTCGGCTTCGAATGTCGGCACGCGCTGGACCGAGGGGTTGGATAGTGATGGCCTACATGAATTCCACTGTGCCCAAGGAGTGTTACAGTTAGAATCAACAAACATCATCCATGGCATTTCCAACTTGCAGCGGCAGCACCGTAGCACAATCGTAGCGTCGTCGACGGCACCAAAGTCCGTGGAAATACCATCCATGATGTAATGTGTGTGGTAGTGACGAGTCCACAATATATTCTTAATTTATTTAATGAATCTTAATTTAGCTTACATAATTAATCATAAATCAATTATATTTCCCTTTCCAATCGAAATACAGAGGTACTGTGGATTGAGGACTTTTTAGATGTACCGTATACCTTATGATGTACCGTATGTACCTTATGGATCAGTACCCATGATTTTGCCTTTATGGTGTCAATAAAGTACGATTTGGTGGTACCTTGGAAGGATGTACCCAAGTCGCTTTATATTGGTCAAAAATGTACAATTATCTCGTTCTAGCCAATTAAACAAGTCGAAGTAGTAGAAGTAACCAATCCAAACGCATTGGAAAGAAATCAGACCACCTTATTGAGTTGTATCCATTTCCATCAGATTTTACTGACATTTTCGGGGGTACAGATCCATAAGAGCATCTGCACCGGCACCAGTAAATTTCACCCCCATTATCCGGATAACTTGTTCGGATACGCGAGTTACTGGCGCCAGTAAGGGCAAATTTTACTGGCCTCGTTTTGGTTTCGCACCGCAGTCAGTAAAGGAGATTGATTGCACTTGCTTCGTGATGGATTCGGCTGCATGGGACTCCGAGAGCGATTGTAGTGGCGATGATGACGT